AAATGTTTTGACCCCTAAACCTCTCTAAACCCTCATAACTAAACCCTAATAGAACATATTTAATCCAAACATAAATAATATAAAAAAAAAATAATTTTGAAAAAGTGGTATTTTTGTAAAGATTTCAAAAGTGTGGCATTTTTGTAAAATGTCACTTGAAAAGTGGCATTTTTAAAAATTTCTCAAACATTTAAGTTTTAAAAAAAAATCATTTAATATACACTAAATCATATTTATTTGTTTTCTTATAACTAATAAAAAAACGTGAAACATTAAGTAAATGAATGAAAATAAAAATTAATAAATTTAAGACTACCAAAAATAGACATATATATATATATTAAAAAAACTAAAAATGTGTTTATGATTTGTAATTAAAACAATTAGTAAAAATCAGCTGACGTAATCATATTTCTAAAATGTTAGAAGAAAAAAATAATCTCTTGACTATTTCTAAGATCTATATATTTCATGAAATATGAACGGTCTATTTCTTATTAAAAGATTTGTACTTCAATAAAAATAAAATCTTATATCCAATTAACTTCATTTTGTTTAACCACACATTTAACTTAAAACATTATCTTAACTCTTTTCTTTTTCAACTTACTAGAAAGACCAACGTTTAAAATATTATATCATAAAATCTCAAATTTTTTTTACGATGAACAAAAATCAAAATATATATAAATTCATGAGACGAAGATAAATGACAAAATAAAATGAGAAGTAATCATATTATAATCATACTATAAAGATAGATTAGAAAAAGATTGATAAATTTTATCATGACATCTATATATATATAATGTAAGCAAAACATTAGCTGATCATGATTAATCATATCAGCAAATCATGGTTTATTTTTGTTTAGTGATAAAGCATATAGACATGTATTTTTCTACTTAAATTTTCACAGTATTTTCTAATTGAAATAAAATTGGAATCATTTTTTTCCATGCAAAAATAAGTAAAATTAAGCAAAACACAAAATAAATTTAAGCAAACAAAATGGAAAAGTCTTATTGTTTTGATCATTTTTATAAAACTTAACAAAAACATAAAGTTTAATTAAGATATAATGAGATATTTACACTTAAAGATATTGAAATAAATAACATTTGTATATGTTTGATCATTTTTACACATTAAACTATCATCATACATATACGTATCCTTTTTGTACGTTTGTAGATATTGAAAATCATATGATTTGTCATACACGTTTAAATATTTAAAAATATATATGTTAAAAATCGAATAGTCAACCTAGTTAATTATTCTGCGTTTGGGCACAGGTCAAAATCTAGTATAATAAATTTATGTCACATAGGAAAAAAATACTTTTGTCTGTATTGTTGATAAAATGATATTGGTTCACACTTTTTATCCAATAACACTGCATTCTATTGGATTTTTATACTCATACAATGTGATACAACTATGCAAAAACCAATAAGCAATAGTGTTATTAATTCAGGGTTTATTTATTTAACTAAATATTTTACTATTCAGATAATTGAGTTACTAACAATTCAGTGGGATGATCCTTCTCGTTAAAGCCCATTGGGCCAGTGTAGTTCAGTACGAGGGCCCACTTTGTTCCTCAGAGAGCTGCGAGACGAACGGAAGATCGGAAAAGAGCATAACAAAATGATGTCCGGCGAATACACGATCATCGACAACCAAAAAGTCTCTGGATCTGTACCTGTAAGCTCACCCATTCTCGATTTTATTACATGAGTATGTACGTGTTTGCGTGTGATTCTTCTGATCTGATCCAGTTTCGATGTCTTTTGTTTTGTTTGCTACGGTCTTAGTTTGTTCCAGATCCAGTCCATGCCACCGTCGAATTCGCCGGTAATATTGTCGTAATTTGTGATTTTTCCGGTTTCTTAGGTGAATTCATAATCAATATGTAGTGTAGGAGAAAGAACGAGTATGTTGATTTAGCCAACTTAGTAAGGATTTAGCCAAGATTAGATTCATCATATTGTTTCATATATCACCATACAGATTCACTTGTGTCTTATAGAGTTTTTGTTCGATTTTAAGCGATTATGAGTTATTAGACCCAATCTCTTTTGAGTCTGGGGGGGGGGGGGGGAGTTTGATTGCTCTGTGGAACCATCTCTGTGGCTTCTGCATCTTCTATTCACCAATAAGGTATGGAATTTTGAGATTTGATACAGACATTATGGCATTGGCCTAATGTAATTGATAGTTGATACATCAAAAATATAGCTATATACATTAGGCCAATGCCATAATGTATGTATCAAATCTCTAGAATTGTGTCGGCTAACACAAACAGAGTTAGCATTCACTGATTACTGTTTGTG